GTAGTCGGAAGGGATAGACTGATTTCTGGATGAAGCTAGCGATGCAAGATCTGAACTTCGGATTCAGGCGTATAGAGAATTTGTCGGATTTAAAAACACCTAATATCGCAAGTTTAACTACAGAGGGAAATACTCTGTGATACGCGGCATTAAAATTTTGCCCACTTTTAAGACGCTACAATCATAACAATTACATCCCTGAGAGAAAGTCAGGAGTAACTTTTGGTGCACATGCCGGGGTCTTCAGGCATGCCTCCGGACCCAAAGCGGGCCAGGCAAGGGAGCAAGTGCGGCAAGTGTAGTTACTGGGATGTATTGTTCACCTACAATCAAAGAGCATTCTGAACTCCACCAATGATGGAATTGAACCAAATATGGCACACAGAGCTCCCACGACGAACAGAAAATATATATCAATGATTGGTTTGGGGGGGGGGGGGGATACTGTTTGCTTACCGTTGAAAATCACCTGCCTAGGAGAGTGGGCCTGGCGAAGCCACAGCATCCATTTTGGAGAAGGGAGACAGGGAGACACCACCTTAGATTAGGTTTGCCTTAAGGGAGAATGTTCTAGTCTTGGAGGGAAAACTAGAAGGCTAGGATTGGTTAAGAAGATGGGGACGGAGCCTAAGTGATCTGAAGGGGAAAAAAGTGACTTTTAAACTGAGGCTTGAGTTCCCAGATTGCCAGTGGGAGCTTGGAAAGGGTTGAGCAAAGAAGGGTGTTAGCGAGAGTAGTTTGGGTTAGTCTTTTGGATAGTATTCAGTATAGCTATAGACAATATAGCTAGAATACTGTGGGGAACAGAACCCCGTTAGCGGTCTGTTCTTTTCCTTAAGGAAGGCTAGCACCTGAAATATTCAAGACTGTTCAAAAAAAAAAGAATCTGCAAACCCCACCTCCTCCAAGAGGAACTGAACCACCTAAACTAGGCTTTCCAGGCCAATGGAGACTCCACCTCAGACATCAGAAGAGCTGCAAGACAACCAAGAAGAAACCATGAGAGTCAAGACAGAGATCCACCCAGAGGAAAAGGGTTCTTGCCAGGCATCAAGGGAACCACTGAGCGCAGAGGGAAGCTGATGAGGAAACATAACGTACAAACTATCCACAGACCCACCAAGGAAATCCAACTAATGCCACGTTCAGCAAAGGACAAGAGGGATCCTCTCACTTCTGCAGGAGTCTACCATGTACCATGCAGCTGTGGACAAGTCCATCTCCTCCATGTCATCATGTCATCATGGAGGAGATGAGGGATTTTCACCATTTTAATTTTATTAACATATTATTAAAGGCTCCCCCATAGATGGGAGCAACAAACCCCATGATGACCAAGCCGCATCTGCAGAAATCAGACCCTGGGGAAGGCGGTTAATGCCAAAGCAACCTGTCCTTTTTGTGCTCCAAGCATCCCTTCCAGAAATCCCCATCTGTTCCCCTTTTGCGCCTCCGTAATCCCCTTATTGTTGGAAGCGTAATTAGTGGGATCAAGGAGGGGACGTGCAAAGAAGGGCTTGGCGGAACAAAGGGGCGGGTGTCCCCTTCTGCCTCTCCTCCCTTGAGAGAGATCCCTTCGGCTGGAAAAGGCTAGACGGAGCAGCCGAATGAACTGGAGGGTGGGTGAAGCATCCACATTGCAGAATCAGTGCAGTTCAACACCACTTTGGCTCAGCGACCAGAGACAACGCACCAAGGAGGCTTGAAGCCGAGCATGTCCCCCTCCCCAATAAGGGATAGTAACTTACAGTTTTCCAAGGGCCAAGGACAAGTCTGCAGGACTCCCTTGACTGGCTCAGTGAAATCCTTTGGACCTTTCCTGTTATGAATTATAAGCATATGGTTCCTGCAACATCAACCCTATATATATAATTTCCTTTGTGCTAGTGGCCTTCCCTTGGCCTTTTTCATTCCCTTCCAAGGACACACACATCGATGCATGATTTTCCTTGTGGCTGAGGCTTTCCCCTTGACCTTTATTTCCCTTCCCTTTCCTTATGAAGAGATCCCCCCAGGAAACTGCAGAGGTCCAGACAATCCAAAGACCCCAATCCACAATTTCCTTTGCATGAAAAATAAACTGGCAGGCAGCTTTGTTCTCGGAGGATTGCCCAACAATGCTGTTTGCCCCCTGGCAGACCCCTAATCATTTTTCTACCTGGAGGTCAGGGGACCCTCGAAAAGCCCCCACCTTCGCACTGGTTGATTTAACTAACTTCCCACTAAGGAACATTCACCCCAGTTTCGCCCTCATTGTACTGTTTGCTGGCTAGTAAAATCCAGACTTTCCTTTACACATGTTGATTCATTCCAATCAAAACACAATAGATCAGCCTTGCTGGAGACTTCCCTTTGTTTGTCTCGCAGACCACATGGCATTTTTTTTCAGAACTCATCCACAGATTCCTTTGTGTTCTATCACCCCGCCTCCCTCTCTCCTGATTTGCTATCGCCGCTAGACGACAGGAGCCTCCCCATTGGATCCTACAGACCGCTGGAGCTTCCTGATTGGTCCAGGGGCGCCGGGGGTGGGAGGGCCGCCTCCCAGCTGTTTGCCCATTGTCCAATCACAGTGGAGGGCAGCAGGGAGGCCGGGGCGGGAAGTTTGAACTCTGCAACTTTGAATTTACTATAAATATGGCTGTATCAAATGTATTTCTTTATGCTCTGCTGGCGAATGATTGCAGCTCTGCATCCTTTTCAGCTGGATCGCTAAATAAACCTCGATGGCTTTTCTTCAACCTTGGTGAGATTTATTTGGGAAAAATCAGGGAAAATTCTGGGCCTTTCTCCTCTTTCACTTGCCATGGGTTTCGGACTCTCTTTGGTGGGTCTAAGGGCTCCTCTCTCCTGGGCAGGAGCCTCCAAATTCTAGCTCGATATCAGGCTCAGGCCTCCAACACAAACAGATGTGCATTGATTCCACACTGTAAATGCACTCCCAAGCAGAATTATAATAGGAAAAATGCTTAATATCAATGATATAGAAGTTATAGAACAGGCATGGTGTTGCACTCCAGAACAGGAATAATCCTCTGACTTTAAAACATCACACGTTGAATAGGGAAAGCAATCCTTTTATTGAAGATAAGTAAAAACAGCAAAGTAAAAAAGACACTTCAAAGGAATAGGTAAATCAAATTAGGTAAAAAGATAAGGGGAAACAAATTAGTCCAAGAAAGAGTTCAGCAATGTTTAAAAACAAAGTCCACAACTCTCTAACAAAATCCTAAGAACCAGGAAACGTTAATCCAAGGCCTGACCAGGTAATCGCAAGAGACAAAAATCTAAACCAGGGAACAAGAAATCCTTAAGCATGAATCTTCCAGGCAAGGCTTCTATGAGACAAGGACAAGAACTTGGTAGGATTCTAAACAATGCTTCATCTGGCTATATTTTCCATGCTTGGAACTTTTAAGCCTTTCCAAGCACTCAGAAACTGTATTGTCGAAGGCTTTCATGGGTTGTTGTAGGTTTTTTCGGGCATATAATGACTTGACAGTGCCTAGAGCACCGGGACATCCGTAGGGAGACCAAGGTGCTTATTTATCAAGCTATTGTCCTCCCGACCCTGCTCTATGCCTGCAAGAAGTAGACTGTCTACAGACGTCACATGCAACTCCTGGAACGATTCCATCAGCACTGCCTCCAAAAAATCCTGCAAATCTGTATTGTCGAAGGCTTTCATGGCTGGAATCACTAGGTTCTTGTGGGTTTTTTCGGGCTATATGGCCATGTTCTAGAGGCATTTCTCCTGACGTTTCGCCTGCATCTATGGCAAGCATCCTCAGAGGTAGTGAGGTCTGTTGGAAGTAGGACAATGGGTTTATATATCTGTGGAATGGCTGGGGTGGAGCAAGGAGCTCTTCCCTGCTGCAGTTAGGTGTGAATGTTTAGCTGATCACCTTCATTAGCATTTGAAGGCCTGCCTGAGCCTGGGAAAATCTGTTGCTGGGAGGTGTTAATCTGTGCCTGGTTTTTTCCTCTCTGTTGTTTAGCTGTTATAATTTTAGAGTTTTTTTTTTAATACTGGTAGCCAGATTTTGTTCATTTTCATGGTCTCTTCCTTTCTGTTGAAATTGTCCACATGCTTGTGGATTTCAATGGCTTCTCTGTGTAGTCTGACATGGTGGTTGTTGGAGTGGTCCAGCATTTCTGTGTTCTCAAATAATATGCTGTGTCCAGGCTGGTTCATCAGGTGCTCTGCTATGGCTGACTTCTCTGGTTGAAGTAGTCTGCAGTGCCTTTCATGTTCCTTGATTCGTGTTTGGGCGCTGCGTTTGGTGGTCCCTATGTAGACTTGTCCACAGCTGCATGGTATACGGTAGACTCCTGCAGAGGTGAGAGGATCCTTCTTGTCCTTTGC